CGGCGGGGGGACCCTGTCTGTGCCTGCCCGCTGGTCTGTGCGTCTGTCTGTGTCTGTGGGAGCGTCTGGGACTCCGGGCGAAGGCAGCGCCAGCTGGCTCCCCCAGCGCGCTGGAGCTAAGCGCCCGCCTCTCCACCGCGCGGTGATTGGCGACCAGCGGCTCGCGGCTTGTCCTAGCCCCCGGGGCTGGTGCGAGGGCGTGGGATTCCCGGCTCCTGCTCCGAAGGAGGGGGCGAAAAGGGGCGGGGAGGCCGGGTGGGAGTGAGGGGGAAAGGGAGGGACCAGCCTCCCAGGAAGGGAGGGAGGGAGGGGAGGGTCCTGGGAATGGCTTGGAAATGGTCATTGAAGCGCCGAGGGATGAGCTGAGAGGCGGGGAGGCCCAGGTAAAAGACCAGACTTTTCCTTGTGCTGCTTAACTTCTCATTTACAGGTCTGCTGGCCAGGAATCGCGGACTACATTTCCAACACTTCCAAGGGCCAGGTGCTTTCCTCCGCATTGTATTCATTCGGCCCTGTCCTTGCAGAACGGGTTAACCACTTGATAGAGACGAGAAAACCAAGGCTCAGATGACAACCCAGGACCCTGGTCGTTTCTGCAGATTGAGAGTGCATGATCAGCAGTGGCCTTCCTGCTTTCCTGGATGGAATCCAGCCTCTCTCTCCAAAAGAGGACACTTCCAACTCTTCGGGGCTGAATCCTGGCCCCAGACACCAAACCTGCAGCCCAGAGCCATGACAGGGGCTCAGCCTCACCCTGAGTGGGCTGCAGCCTCGGTGCCCTGGCCATATACTGGCCCATTTATTTATTTCTCTGTTAACCCCTGCTGCCCACGGTTCTCCCCGCAGGCAAGGAAGATGCCCACAAAAGAACAGCATGACCCCCATGTCCTAAAAGAAACACAGAATCTCATTTGGAAAGAAGAACCCCACCTGCAGACATCAAGTGGATTCTGCCTTATAGCAACCCAATAGAGGGCTTCCAAGGCTGTAAATCTTTATGGGACGACAGCATAATCTTCCTCTCATTGAGGGCTAGTGGGTTTGAACTGCCCACCTTGTGGTTAGCAGTCTACTGCATACCCCACAGTGCTGCCAGGGTTTCTTGGAAAGGATATCCAAACCCAAAACCAAACTCACTGCCACTGAGTCAGGGCGGGCCCATGTTAACCCTAGAGGACAGGATAGAACTGCCCGAGTTTCCGAGACTGTAACTCGGTACAGGAGTAGAAAGCCACATCTTTCTCCCATGGGGAAAGAATAACAGCAGAACCTGATTTAGATTGAGAGAGAGAGAGTAGGGGCTAAGGTTAAGGAGAAGATGGATCCTTGAAGTGGTAAAAGTTTGGCATTGTGGAAGAATT